GAGACTGTCTTTTTCCCATTGGATATTCATTCCTCTGCTGTTGAAGATTAATTGACCATATACTTGTAGTTTTATTTCTGGGTTTTCTACTCTGCTGTATTGATCTATGGTACCATATATACCAATAGATCAACCAGTACCATACTGTTTTGATTACTATAGCTTTGTAATATAACTTGAAGCAAGGAATTGTGATATTTCAAGCTTTGCCTTTTTTTTCAAGGTTGCTTTGGCTATTCAGGGTCTTTTGTGGTTCCATACAATTTTAGGATTCTTTGTTCTATTTCTGTGAAAAATGCTATTGGTATTTTGATAGATTGCATTAAATGTGTAGATTTCTTTGGGTAGTATAGACATTTTAACAATATTTGTTCTTCTAATCATGAGCATGGAATGTCTTTCCATTTCTTTGTACCATTTTCAGTTTCTTTCATCAGTGTTTTATAGTTTTCAAAATACATGTCTTTTATTTGGTTAAGTTTATTCCTAGGTACCTTATTATTTTTGGTGTAATTGTAAATGGGATTGTTTTCTTAATTTCTTCCTGCTGCTTCATTATTAGTGTATAGAAATGGAACAGATTTCTGCACACTGATTTTGTATCCTGTGACTTAATTCATTTATCAGTTCTAGTAGTTTTTTGGTGGTCTTTAGTGGTTTCTACATATAGTGTCATGTCATCTGCAAATAGTGAAAGTTTTATTTCTTCCTTACTGATTTTGAGGCCTTTTATTTCTTTTTGTTGTCTGATTGCTGTGGCTAGGACTTCCAGTACTATGTTAAATAAAAGTGGTGAGAGTGGTTATCCCTGTCTTGTTCCTGATCTTAGGGGAAAAGCTCTCAGTTTTTCCCCATTGTGTATGATGTTTGCTGTGGGTTTTTCACATAAGGCCTTTATTATGTTGAGGTATGTTCCCTCCAAACCTGCCTTGTTAAGGGTTTTTATCATGAATGGATGTTGTACTTTGTCAAATGCTTTTTCTGCATCTATTGAAATGATCATATAGTTTTTATCCTTTCTCTTATTAATGTGGTGTATTATGTTGGTTGATTTGTAAAAACTGAACCACCCTTACATCCTGGGAATAAATCCCACTTGATTGTGGTGAACGATTTTTTTAAATGTATTGTTGGATTTGGTTTGCTAGTATTTCATTGAAGATTTTTGCATCTATGTTCATTGAGGCTATTGACCTATAGTTCTCTTTTTTGTGTGGTGTCTTTATCTGGTTTTGTTATCAGGGTAATGGTGGCCCCATAAAATGAATTTGGAAGTCTTCCTTCTTCTATTTTTTGAAATAGTTTGAGAAGAATAAATATTAACTCTTTGTTTGGTAGAATTCACCTGTGAAGCTGTCTGGTCCTAGACTTTTGTTTATTGGGAGATTTTTGATTACTGAATCAATTTATTGCTGGTAAACAGTCTGTTCAACTTTTCTATTTCTTCCTGCTTCAGTTTTGGTAGGTTATATGTTTCTAGGAACTTATCCATTTCTTCTAGGCTCTCCAATCTGTTGGCATATAATCTTTAATAATATTCTCTTACAACTATTCGTATTTCTGTGGTGCTGATTATATCAAAAGAGATGTTGATAAACATTTTAAAAATTTCCTGTGACGTGTAAGACTCTAAGGGTTAAATTTCACAGTCGCCAATAACCCTTTGGTGGTAAATGAAGAAGTTTTTCTGATGCAATTATTTTCCATATTTTCAAGAAAATATGAAACATTAACTTACCCAATATAAAAAACAATAACAAAATTTATAGTGCTACCAATACACTCATGAAGTGCATGCAACCTCATGAAATGGGTACTATGTCATCCTCATTTTTACAGATGAGTCAACTGAGACCAGAGAAATGTAACCCATAATAATATGGGAGCTAGAAAGAAAAAGGTGGGTGGCTGTAAAATGGGAATTAGAAAAGTCTAACTAGCCTGATGCTCTGACCACAGAGGTCTTCTCAGACAGATCAGTTTTAGGCAAAGGATGAGGATCTTAAAAATGATTCCGAAAAATATCCAATACCTGCATAATATTCTTTAGAAAATCTTCATGTACCTCCAAGGATATGGGACAGACTCCCTTCAAAGATTGTTGTGTTAGACCAACAGTGCAAAAGCATGGGATCTGGAAGGGGCAGCACTAATTTTGTCCACTTCTTAGATTCTGCTTGAATCAAACATGCTTGGTGAGCTGTGACTTTGTCAAGTTAAAACATGTGTAGTCCATGTAAGTGTATTCCATGATGAAAATTAAGTAATGATGCTTCCAAACTACACACACATTCCAGTTGCTGGGAGTAGCAAGATACTCACAGCCTAACCATATGAATTAATCACAAGCTAAATTGTTTACCGTGCTTTTTTGCCTTTCCATCTTCCTCTATGTTGAAGTGTTCATTGCTTTGAGTCATTTGTTGTTTTTCTTTGGAAATCAAAATTTTTATTTAAATGATATGCCTGGTAATATTTTAATAACTTCATTGAAATAGAATATACATACCTTATGGTTCACTTGTTTAAAATAGATGTCAGTGGGGGTGCCTGGCTGGCTCAGTTGGTTAAGCGTCTGCCTTCAGCTCAGGTCATGATCCCAGTGTCCTGTGATGGAGCTCTGTAGGGCTCCCTGCTCAGCAGGGAGTCTGCTTTTCCCTCTCCCCCTGCCACTCCCCCCCACCCATGCTCTCTCTCTCGCTCTGTGCTCTCTCTTAAATAAATAAATAAATTCTTTAAAAATATAGATGTCCATGATTTTTATTCTATTTACAGAGCTGTAGTTGGTGAACCCTTTCACTATGCAGATTCAAACCTTCTCTGTTCTTTTACTTCCTCTCATCCATCTCTTTGTTTTTTCTCTGTTTTGAACCTTATTACTTGCATGTTAGTCTTCCTGAATTTATTCTCCAAGTGACTTCTATTTTCTGGGTGATTTTCATCTCTGTATTGTTTTGTATAATTAAGCTATTTTTCCCACTTGCTCTTCCAGGTTACTAATTTTATCACAACAGTGGCCAGGCTCTTTCCATTTATCTGTTACAATTTTAAAGATTTTATTTTATTTATTTATTTGAGAGAGAGAGAGCACAAGAGGGGGAAGGGTCAGAGGGAGAAGCAGACTCCCTGCTGAGCAGGGACCCCCCATGCGGGACTCGATCCGGGGACTCCAGGATCATGACCTGAGCCAAAGGCAGTCGTTTAACCAACTGAGCCACCCAGGCACCCTATCTATTACAATTTTAAACTTGAAAATTCATGTTTACAATTTTTAATTATCTAAATGGATTCCCTTGCCTGACTTTCACAGTATGCTTTCCACTGTTTACACCAGTGCGAGGCACCTTTTCAGGCTGCTCAACTCAGCTTTTCCTTCTGGTGCTGAATCCCTTTTAGTGAAATGGTGATGATGATGGGCCTGCATAGGGCTTAGCATAGCCTCATTGATTAGGATCAACTGATTTGCTCACACTAGAGAAACCCAGTAAGTATTGGAAGGCAGAGCAGTTTCCACTGCTACAAGTTGGGGTGAATCCCCCAACAAACTACTAATCCTGTCTGAGGGCTCTGTCCCCGATGGGATTTCTCTCACTGCCTTGTGGATTTGGAGCAACTCAACCTTCCAAAGTAGCTCCCCTCTGTCCTTCAAGACCTGTAGGAACAGGTAGGCTTCACCCCTGCACCCATGAAAGAGATGTTCAGCCCTTCTGGGAGGGGACTCATGAGAATCACAGACTTTACCACAGGTGTCTCTGCTATGAGCCTCTTGAAAGATTAGACCTTGGCCAGAAGGGTTAAAGCCGGAAAGTCTTCCCTTGGTAAAAGGAAACACCCTGTTTCTGCTTCTGAAAGGAGCACTGTGAGAGAGAACAGTGTCAAATCGCACCTCTATTCTGACAAGTAGGCCAGGTCTAGAGCAAATGTAAATGCCCAAGAAACTATGATTTAGAGTGAACATGCCCTGCCCCACGGCACATGTAATTGCACCTGTCTGCCTCATCATGCTATGGGTTCTCTATGTTCCATGAGATAATCTCTGTGTACCACAGGCCTAAGCAGTGAGCATGTAGAATCCTGGCACCTGCCCTCCCTTCTCATCTCTCCTAATTCAATTCCCCTATCAGTCTGGTGAGTCTCAAAAACACAGTGCTCCTGGGACACCTGGGTGGCTCAGATGGTTAAGCGTCTGCCTTTGGCGGATCGAGTCCTGCATCAGGCTCCCTGCTAGGCGGGAGGCCTGCTTCTCCCTCTCCCACTCTCCCTGCCTGTGTTCCCTCTCTTGCTGTGTCTCTCTCTGTCAAATAAATAAAATCTTTAAAAAAACAAAACAGGGGCGCCTGGGTGGCTCAGTCATTGAGCATCTGCCTTCGGCTCAGGTCATGATCCCGGGGTCCTGGGATCGAGCCCCACATCAGGCTCCCTGCTCCGCGGGAAGCCTGCTTCTCCCTCTCCCACTCCCCCTGCTTGTGTTCCCTTTCTCGCTGTCTCTCTCTCTGTCAAATAAATAAAAATCTTTAATAAAAAAAAAATAAAAAATAAAAAAACAAAACAAAACAAAAAAAATCACAGTGCTCCTGCTTGGGGAAAGAAAGATTAGAGAAAGGGGACAGGTAGGAATGAAATCTCTGGATTTTACTGTGGAGATTTTGAATACCAAGTGGGTTCCAGCATGGAGGTTCTCTCATATAACAGGGAAATTCAACTCGGCATTGTAGACACTCACTCATGTGCATACACAGATTCTGTCACATATTTTGTTTGTGTTTATTTCTTAGCTAAATGACCAATAGAGTCTCCTCTTTCCACAGTTTAGTAAAAGCAAGAGACAGGGAGTGTCTTCCCCAGGGCTGTCAGAGACCCAAACAAAGCTGGGAGGGGACCCTTGGGGACAAATGAAAGGACACTCAGGTCTCTGGTCTCCCAGGTTGGCTTTCTCCTTGAAGAAGGTAGCACTCTGGCTTCAGGGGCCATTCAGGGCCCATTGTATCCCCTTCTCATCTCCATGGCTATTGAGGATACTGGTCTCCTCCAGAACCGGTTAGAGCTCCAACTAGGCCTGTGGTGGACTCCGTGATTCCCTCCAGGGCCCGTGCCAAGGTTGGGGCCATGGGGGCGGTAGATAGCTGTATCAAAGACGTTTCTCAGGGACAGGGAATTTCTCTAGAAAAAGAAGGGCAAATCATTTCAGAATCATATCCCCTTGTCCCGAGCTTTAACATGGACTCCTTCTGGAATCTTCTTCCCCTTCATATCATCTCCTTCACCTAGTACTCCTTCCTCTAGACTTTATTCCTTCTTTTGGTCTTCTTTTCCCTCAGCACATTGATTGACTCTTCCAGTTCTAACTTGCTACTTCTCTTTAGTAACATTCTCCTGATCTTTCCTTCCTTCCTACCCACCCCCCAACTTGGTGGCCCTCCTATTCATACCCCATTTCCTTATGTTCCTGCGACTCCTTCCCCCAGACACTTTCCTACATATTAGGCACTCACCACACAGATGAAAAGCCCAGCAAAGAATCCCACAGCCACTACAACCGAGACCAGAGTAATGAGGAAGATTTCCCAAGGTTTCAGGGACCCACTAGGTGTCACTTCATTCACTGGAATGGTAGCAGTCGTGCCAACACTATTGGAGGTTGTGTGTGTTCCAGTTAGAGAATGTGTGCTAGAGCCTCCTGTGATTGCACTGGATGCAGTGTTGGCAGCTGTCCTGGTCCCACTGGAAGTCACACTGGATCCAGTGTTAACAGCTGTGCTGGTCCCACTGGAAGTCACACTAGATCCAGTGTTGGAAGCTACACTGGTCCTGCTGGAGATCACACTGGGTCCAGGGTTGGTAGCTGTGCTGGTCCCATTGGAGGTTGTGCTGGATCCAGTACTAGAGACTATGCTGGTCCCACTGGAGGTTGTACTAGAACCAGTATTAGCAGGCATGCTGGTCCCACCAGAAGTTGTACTGAATCTAGTGCTGGAGGCTATACTGGTCCCACCTGAGTTTTCACTGGATCCAGTGTTCATAGGTGTGCTACTACCTCTGGAGGTTGTGCTGGATCCAGTGTTGACAGGGGTGCTGGTCCCTCCAGAGGTTGTGCTAGATTCAGTATTGGAGGTTGAGCTGGGCCCACCGGAGGTCACACTGGGTCCAGTTTTGGTGGCTATACTAGTCCTGCCAGAGGTTGTGCTAGACTCAGTATTGGAAGTTGTGCTGGGCCCACTGGAGATCACACTGGATTCAGTGTTGGAGGCTGTACTGGTCCCACCAGATGTGCTGGATCCAGTATTGGCAGCTGTGCTGGTCCCTCCAGAGGTTGTGCTGGATCCAGTACTGGAGGCTGTATTGGTTCCCCTACTTGTTCCACCAGAGGCTGTGCTGAATCCAGTGTTGACAAGTGTGCTGGTCCCTCCAGAAATTGTGGTGGATTTAGTGTTAGAGGTTGTACTGGTCCCACTAGAAGTTATGCTGTGTTCAGTCTTGCCTGCTGTGGATGTTTCACCTGCTGATAATCATGAATGATGACAAACACATAAGGAGCATAAGTATTTTCTGGTTTAATGCTTGTTTAAATTCATTACATGGGTAATTCTATTTGATGCTCACTACAGCCCTATGAACTAGATACTATTATTATCAACAGCTAAGATGAAGAAATTGAGGCTTAGAAATGTTAACATTTGCCCTTATTTATGCAGATAGTAAGTAGTAAGGAGGAATTTGTACTTAGGGTACTGGATCTGCACTTTCAGCTACCATGCTAAATTGCCTTCCCCACCCAGCCCCAATACCAGGGTTACATAACCTAGTTCCACTGGTAGTAAGCTTATTCCATATTCTACTATATAAGATCCAATACAGATAAGAAGTATTATAAAGGAATTGCAAAGCCCTGTGAAATTAGTATATACTGATTAATTCATTCTTAAAGTAGTATTGCTCCCTTCCAAGAAAATATTTTTCAGTGTTATTCAGAAAACATCTACATCTGAATTGTCTGAGTAGCTTGGTAACAATAAAGGCAAACCATTCTAGATTAAATGAATCAGATTTTGAGATGTGACCTTCCAACAAGGGCTGGGTGAGTTTATATGCTTTCAATTTCCAGGGGCTCCTGATGTCTATGGCAGAGGCTGGAGAAGCACAAGTCATATGTAGCTTAAAAGTATTAGATCTCCCAGGATAAGGGGCTGTAAGGTATAGGGAATCTTTTCAACCTTCTTGGAGACTCAGACAGAGTTAAGGTTGTGTCTGTTTTTTTGCCCCTCACAACACTGAAGGACAAAGATACTCAACCTCCCCCAGATAACCAAAATTAATTTGTGGCTCCTTTTACCACTAACTGGAACATGGGTGCCTATCAATTCATTCCACACATGTGTATTTTTTCCTTGGGCGTAATTGAACTAACATAGGGTTAGAGTTTTAGCTCTATTTTGGGAAGGCCCCCTATTATCAGCTGTGTGGTACAAATAGGCATTAAGATCAGAATCTTGAATAAAAATAAAAAGAAACTGAGATGACCAAGAGTAAGAATGACACCACAGTCAAAGCTTCCCATTCTTAGTAGTTAAACCCCCAGCCAGGGGCGCCTGGGTGGCTCAGTTGGTTAAGCGACTGCCTTCGGCTCAGGTCATGATCCCAGGGTCCTGGGATCGAGCCCCGCATCAGGCTCCCTGCTCAGCCAGAAGCCTTCTTCTCCCTCTCCCACTCCCACTGCTTGTGTTCCCTCTCACGCTATCTCTCTCTCTCTCTGTCAATTAAATAAATAAATAAAAATCTTTAAAAAAAAAAAAAACCCCAGCCAACCACACAGGTTATTATCATTTTATAGATGCAGAAACTGAGGCACAGAGAAATTAAACAACTCACCCGAAGTACACGCACACTCTTACAGTGGAGCCATGATCCATACACAGGCAATCTGAGACCAGAGTGTACAGTTTTAACCACTGTGCTCTGACTGCCTCCTGGGTGATACCTAGTTAGACTGAAGTGATTGGGGTAAAACAATGATCCCCACTCTATGGAAGAGAACCAGAGCTGGTCCTAGCAGTGGTCAGCATCTCCCAAAGCACCTTGAAGGTTCTCAGATCACCCACTTTTAAAGGAAATCACTTACCAGTTTCTAAAAGTAGGAGATGCAATAGTAACCAATACTTAAGGAGGATGTTTCCTTTCTGCATCTTTATCTGCCTCATTGTTGGAAAGTATGATGCCCGAATCCCAGCTGTGGCCAAGATCTAGAAGGCAAAGAACAGGATTCTTGAAAAAGGAGAGTTCAAGGTGAAGAGATAAAGACTGGAGCTTCCAGGAGCTTGGGTCTCCTAAGTACTTGTTCTTGGGAAGAACTTTGAACTTGGGTAGAAGACTGGAAGCCTGGGTTCCTTAAGCTTCCTCCATGCAATGTTATTGCCTTTTTCTTTATTATGGAAGAGCTGCAGGGACCTTTATAGCTTCATATGTGTTGGGGAGGGGTTGGGAAGTTGACTTGTTCTTCTGCCAACTATGAGCAGTTAAAAAAACAATACTGAGCTTGAGAAGGAATAGACTAGGGTCAAGAGGAAGGTGAGAAAGGAGAATGACATGATCACACTAGGCAGGGCACTGGACTGGCTGGATCAGAGCAGGAAGTCAAACGGTATGAGGAGATCAAATTTGTCAGAGTGGAAGGGACCCACCCTCTAAGGCAGGGATGGGGCCAGAAACCTGTTCTACTGCAAGACTTTGTTTCCTGGTCAAGAAGTTCTGTGTGCCCGCTTTGGTAAGGAGTGAGCTAAGTGGGTGGTACCCTACATCTCTGAAGCAAATGGGAATGGGAGACTCAAAAGAGAGCAGTAACTAGGGGTCTGGGCTTCTGGGTTATAGGCAGAAGACAGAGCATTGCTGGGTATGCAGTAGGCACTCAACAATGCACATTGAATAAAGAGGGGAAGAGAGATCCAGGGGTTGATGAAGCCATCTTTGGGGTCTCTGGGGCATGAGGGCTGAGGGCATGGGGAGTGTTGAATGTGTAGAAGAAGCCATCTGTCAGACTCATAGCAGGTGAAGGGGTGGTATAGGGTCCCCTTCCGATCCTCCACCATAGGAATTTCCCTCTTGTTTGTTTTCAGAGAAATCTGCTGGACCTTTTCTGCCGGAATCCTTCAGATGCTCCTTCTCATCAGCCTAATGAAGCATCTCTCAGTAGGGTATACCACAGATAACACGTTAGGAGACTTCAAGTCTGTTGGGGGAGGGAGATATATAGTCTTCAAGTCCTTTAGAAACTTCATGCTGGTCTGGACAATGTAACAGCAAAGGACACACAGTCAACTAAACAAGTATGACTGAACAGACCCAAATGAGCAAAGGGTTTTGGGAGTTCATGGGGAAGGCATCTTGTGGTCAGGGCCAGGGGGTTGATAGTTGGGAGTTTCAGGGCACAGTCTGTGTGACCAAAGTCAGCTGTCTTCATTACTGTTAATGAGAAGCTTTGTGGAAGAAGCAATATCTCAGATAGTTTTTTGTGTGTGAATGAGTATTCCCGATATTTAAGACCTGTTTGAAAGAAGCAGGAGGTAGCTGGAGACATAAAGGAATTTATGAATGAGTCTGAGAGTCAGGAGGGGACGGAGTGTGCTGGAAAAGGCTAATGCAGATCTGCCTAGCGGCTGTGAGGCTGAAGCAGTTCCTGAGGCTGAAGTGTGAGGAACCATTCAATGACTGGCTGGGCTTTAGACTCCTAGCAATTGCATTTTATGGCTGACAGGCCAAAAGCACTCTAAGAAATCCTTTTTTTCTTCTTCCCTCTAGAATTATTTGGAGGCAGAGGTCCTGAATTCAAGTCCAGATTCCACCTTCTAGACATAATCCTAAAATTTTTTTGCATGCATACTTATCAGAGACTATATGTAATTAGTATCTTTACTGTCCTTCAAAACAACACAAGAACCTTGGAACTTTAATTATTACTACCCAATTCCCAACTCATACCCTAATCTTATCAAGTTGTTTTAATTCTGTCTTGGTTTTTAATTTCATGAGAGATTATTGTTCTCTGCTTACACACCATAAGCCAGAACATAGTCATACAGACAAAATAAGCTGAGAGACTGGAGAATATGGTGAGTAGCCGAGTGGGCATGTGCTTGACTAAAACTTGAGAATATGATTGTTGAAGATGGAGAATGGATATTAGTGGACAATCAGAAAGCTATGACACACATTTAAACCTACGTGCTTTATATTCTGTATTTAATAATTCCAATACCTCCAGTTTTTGTGGATCTGATCCTGCTGTATTGTGTTTTGTTTCTTGCTGGTTTTCACTGATGCTTTATGACTGAGATGGTTTTACTAGAGGTTTATGGCTGAGTTTATTTTTCTTGTGATGTTATCTGTAGAAGTACTTTGAAGCCTAAGATGAGGGCATGATCTTCCACAGAGAATTTGCATGTTTTGGCCAAGCATATGGATGGATTACCATTTGAGGATTCTCATAAATTAAATGATAGGCTTGAGGTCTTTTGAATAACCCATGATTTGGAACTGCAAACCATGTAAAATATTGTTAGTTACTGTAAAACTAACAATTGTAATAATAAGTTACATATAACTTGTAACTTGTGGTTACAAGTTATTTCTCAAGAGATACTTCCTTCTCTCCTCCCTCCCCCTTTACAAAGTTTAGAGACAGGTGATTTTGCTTGCATTTCCTTAGAGGAAGAGTGGGTTTATTTTTAGCTTACACTCCCTGAAGTTTTCAGATTTATGGGAGGGTCTACTGCAAGAGTCCCCACCCACGCTGGTCTGACTGAGGCTGTACTACTTGAAGATTAAGTTCACTGGGTTTGGCAAATGTTGACTTGACTTAACTTAGTCTTTAATTCTAGCATTCCTTACTTTTCCACCAACTCATTGATTCATTTTTTTTTAAATAATGTTTTTATTTTATTTTATTTTATTTTTTTTTAAAGATTTTATTTATTTATTTGAGAGACAGAGAGAATGAGAGAGAAAGCACATGAGATGGGGGGAGGGTCAGAGGGAGAAGCAGACTCCCTGCTGAGCAGGGAGCCCGATGCGGGACTCGATCCAGGGACTCCAGGATCATGACCTGAGCCGAAGGCAGTCGCTTAACCAACTGAGCCACCCAGGCGCCCCAACTCATTGATTCATTTAAGAAGATATTTTAAAAAGTCATCTATAGTCATCCATTCCCATTCAAGTACTGCCTAGAAGTTGACAGCATTGTGTATTTTAAGGCGGATGTCTCGTTTTAGAGAAGATGGATGCCCTGGTTATTAAAGCTGATTTAATCAATAAAATCCACATATTATCAAACAAAAAAAAAGGTTATTAGTCCACCATTTTAAGTTTTTCAGGGTATTTTAAGTCAATGCACCTAGAGCATCACAGAGCCAGAAATTTAAGTTCTCACTGGATTGGTTTGAGAAAAAAATGATAGTGTATTTAAAAGCACTAGCATGGTGTTTGGCACATAGTAAGCATGGAATTATAAAGGGCAAAGGAAAAACAAAAAGAAAAACATAAAAACATATATATATATATATAGTAGCCAGTGTATTTTAGGATTTCAATTTGTACCACATCCCAGTAATTTTCTCCTTATTGTCACATGGCATTTGGAAGAGACAAAGAAGGAGGGAAGAAGAATCTTCCCAAAGATGAAGGAGACCTGGAAAAGAATGAGTGGTTCTAAGATGGTTTCCTGTCTACCTGGTTTGTATGATTTGAAGCTACAAACCTAGACAGATATTAACTACACTTAGTGTGGTGATCATTTCCCAATGTATACAAATACCGAAACATTATGTTATACACCTGAAATTACTATCATATTATATGTCAATTTTACCTCAAAAAAGGAAGGAAGGGAGGGAGGAAGGGAGGAAGGACGAACATCAGATTGGTGAAAATCAGGCTGCCAGCTGGTGTTTGCCGAATGCCCATTGTGTACCTCTCACCAATCAACTCCGTAGTCAGGATTTCTGTCTTTCTCTCTCTTGCGGTCTTGATATCATGCTATGTGAGAAAGTAAAAACCAGACTGAGAAAGTAACAGTCTGCACTGCCATTCCTCAGGCTGGGATGACGACATGGGTAAAGCCAGCTGCAAGGTTCACAGGAAAATATTTTCACCAAAGACACACTGCAGTTGTAAACCTTCATAACAACTCCCTTCTTTCAGTGACTTACTCACTCAGTGATTTTGTCAATGAAAAATGGGATTCTCTAAACTCATAGACTATCACAAGTTTCCTGTTTGAAATTATATTCGTAAGAAGCAAATATCCTATTCTGTCTGGAGAATCTAAGTTAATTTAACACACAGAAGCAGCTTCAGTTTCCAACCCAGGGGCAGATAAAAGTTTCTGAATACAGTAGACTCTTGAGCAACATGGGTTCAAACTCTGCTGGTCCACTTATACACTGAAGTTTTTCAATAAATACAGTATAATACTGTAAATGTATCTTCTCTTCCTTAGAATTTTCTTTTTTTAAGATTTTTTTAAATTTTTGTTTATTTGAGAGAGAGCACGAGCAGAAGAGGGGCAGAGCACAAGCAGGGGGGAGGGGAAGGGAGGGGGAGAATCAGGGTCCCTGCTGAGCAGAGAGCCCAATGCAGGGTTTGATCCCAATACCCCGGGATCATGACCTGAGCCAAAGCCTTAACTGACTGAACCACCCAGGCGCCCCTAGAATTTTCTTAATAACATTTTCTTTTCTCTAGCTTACTTTATTATAAGAATACAGCATAATACATATAACATACAAAATATGTGTTAATCAATTGTTTGTTATTGGTAAGACTTCCAGTCAACAGTAGGCTATTAGTAGTTAAGTTTTTGGGGAGACACAAATTACACAGATTTTTTTACTGTGAGGGATGTCAGTGCCCCTAACCTCCACCTTGTTCAAGGGTTGAGTATAATAGCATTCCCCATCTATTGTAACTTTGTTGTCTCCAAGGAAACTGACTCCACTTCACATTCTGGAGCTCCTGTTGACCCTTGTACTCATCCTGCTTTGTTTTAAGCTTACTAATACTCTGCTGCATTTAACTTTTAACTCCGCTGCATTTAACCAAAACTCTTAACTCTGCTACTTTTAACCAAAACTCCACACTCCCCTAACACTATAATGACTGTTTTCCTTAGTTTGGTACAAAGCTCCTTAGTCCTACTCTGGTGTACAGTCTCTCTTGTTGCAATGAGCCGATAAAGCTGATTTGTGAGGCTAGAGGTATGCTCCTGATGCTCTTATGTTGACTGGGCTAGGATGTGTGTGACCCTCCACACATTGCTCTCTAGTTCTGAACATCCTAGTGGTCCATTTCTCATTATTCTATTCCTACTCATGATCCATCATGTAATTAGTTCTTCCATCTCTACTCACAGTAACTTACCAGGAAAAAACGCAGTCCCACTAACACCAATACCCACCACAACTACAGACAGAGAGATGAGGATGATGCCCCAGGGCTGCAATATCCACTTGGCTTAGTCCCATATTGGCATTTGGCTCATAGTAACTGTCTCTGTGCCCGTGGTGACTGGGTCTATTTTATGTGAGGTGGTACTGCTTCCAGAAGTGGTGGTTGGCTCCTGGGTAGATCTCATCCCAGTGTTCCTGGTGTTTGGAACAGAGCTGATAGATGGTGCTCCAAAAGTGGATGTGCCCGGGTCCAAGGTATTTGGGTCCATCTCATGGACAATATTCCTGGTAGCAGGGGATATGGAGTCCATTGCAGGGGCCATCGTGACAGACATGGGGGTGGTTGGTCTGGTTCCAGTGGTCTAGGTGCCTAGGAAACAGATCACATAGTATGATGCATTTGTAGTGACAATAATTGAAGAGGAGGCAGGTGTACTTAGAGCAGAGGGATTGATCTAACACAGTAATGGTGGTGGTGGTTTGAGAAGAGCTGTTGTGGTGGGAGGAGAGATGGTGGAAAGTGATTCACCTGAAACCATGAGGGCCTCAGAGAGAGGTGAGTGTCTTAGAGAAGAGGAGGTAGGCTCTGTCCACGGGTGGTGCTGGTGATGGTGGAGACTAAGATTGAGGAGCCGTGACTGGGATTGATGTATTCAATTTTAGAAGTGCTCACCCAAATAGGGAGGGTAGGCTGGGATAAGAGATAGGGTCTGATATTCTTATAATGTGCTCACTGGGTATAAGGACATTGCTAGAGGAAGGGATGATGGGATCAGATTTACTGAGGGGTGAGACAGTGGCCACGGCTGGGAGCACAGGTGACATAATCTCACACAATCATGGTGGTCAACAGAGATGAGGTGAGTGTGCTCGGAACATATGTGGAAGAACCTGACCACAGGGAGGAGGCTGGCCCTAGGGAAGGAGAGGCTGGATTCAGAACAAGGCGGGAGGACCTAATACACAGAGCAGGTGGCATCAGCAGCAAGGGTTGTGCTTAGACTGGAAGTGGTTACACTGATACAAGAACAGTGTCAGTCACTGGACTAGCACCGGGTAGCTCAGGACAAAGTGGGTAGAATCACATCCCACATGAGTGCTGATGGCAAGTGCAGAGGTGGTTTTATTCAGAGCACGTGCCAGAGATGAAAAAAATCATTTTTTGGTCTTAACCAAACTTGGAGCAAGGGTTGGCAAACACCTTCTCTAAAGGGTCATCAGATGTGAATTTTTAAGCTATTTGGGCCACAAAGTCTCTGCCACAAGTATGCAAAGTAGCTGGGGAGCAGCTATAGATATAAAGGAGTACATGTGGCTATATTCCAGTAACACCTCATTTGGGAAAACAGGTAACAGGCCAGATTTGGCCCATGAAGTGTAGTTTGCAGTCCCTGGACCAGGGCTCAATATATTGAAGATGGGATGAAAGTGTCACAGGTGGTGGGTGGAACAGAGCTGATTGTGCTTGGCACGGACATGACAGCATCTGACAAACTAGGGTGTTTGTCACAGAGTTAAGGTGAGTTCCCTCTAGGCAGAAGTGATGGAATATAATTAACGTGTGTGTGTGTGTGTGTGTGT